GCCACACGCATTCTTTTGTTACTCCACATTGCTTTCCAAAAGGTATCCCCTTTATGTCCATTTGACAAATGATGAACTTGAGATGCAGAAATTGAGTGACAAGGTGAGTTTCAAGGCTAAAGAAAACTATTGTTAGAATTCAGGATGCCAACTCTTTTGCCGTTGAATATCATACTGAACAAATAGCTAAATTTAATACTGGCTGGTTTTGAATGTTTACTGTTTTTAAAATTCTGTTACATGGTCTGTCACAAGGTTTCTCAGCCTCAGCACTATTGCTGTTTTGGACTGGATGATTCTTTGTTGTGGAATACTCTCCAGTGCATTGTAGAATGTTGAGCGGTGTCCCTGACCTCTGTCTACTAGATGCCAGTAGCACCCTCCCAGTTGTGACAACCCAAACTGACTGTAGATATTGCTAAATGTCCCGTGGGGGCAAAATTGTCCCTGGTTGAGAACCAGGCCAATCTCTAAAGGTGATTGTGTTATGACAGAACTCACCTAGAGTAATTCAGAAATGTGTTTTGTGAGCAGGGGGTTATGTTGCTTTAAAGTGTGGTGGAAAGAACATGAGCTTTGGAATCTCTTGGCCCTGCCACTTATCAGTCCCTGTATCCTTGATTAAGTAATTTGTCTTTTCTGAGCGTTTGTTTCTTCATTTGTAAAATGGGCATTATATCTACCTGATAGGGTTTTGGTGATTAAGCTGGAGGATGATACAAGTGGAAGAATGAGGGGAAAAAAAGGAGAAAAATGATCTATAGTAGAAGAAAGTGAAGGAAAGATACAGAAGGCAGTTGTCAAGAGAAGGAGTGAAAGGCACATTGGGAAGATCTAAGATGGCAGGTGAACGAACCACATCTACCCTCTTCCCACACTCTAGTCCCAGGTCACTGAGTCTGGAAGAAAGCTCTGAACAGGGCCGAGCACAGTGGCTCACACCTGTAATCTCAGCACTTTGGGAGGCTGAGGTGGGTGGATCACTTGAGACTGGGAGTTTGAGACCAGCCCGGCTAACATGGTGAAACTCCATCTCTACTAAAAATAAAAAAATTAGGCAGGCATGGTGGCGCGTACCTGTAATCCCAGCTACTCGGGAGGCTGAAGCACAAGAATTGCTTGAACCTGGGAGTTGGAGGTTGCAGCGAGCTGAGATCGCGCCACTGCACTCCAGCCTGGGCGACAGAGTGAGACTCAGTCTCAAAAAAAAAAAAAAAGAAAGCTCTAAAGAGTTTATTTTCTCTCTCTCTTTCTCTCTCTCTCTCTCCTTTCTTCTTTCTTCCTGTTTAATTGAACTTACAGTGCCACATGGCTGGGGAGGCCTCAGAATCATGGTGGGAGGTGAAAGGCACTTCTTACATGGCAGCAGCAAGAGAAAATGAGGAAGAAGCAAAAGCGGAAACCCCTGATAAACCCATCAGATCTCATGAGACTTACTCACTGTCACGAGAATAGCACAGGAAAGACCAGCCCCCATGATTCAGTTACCTCTCTCCCACAACACATGGAAATTCTGGGAGATACAATTCAAGTTGAGATTTGGAATCAGGGATTAATACCTGATTTCTTTAATATGAAATTGAATATTCATATATATTTTATGTATAAGCTAACTGTTCTTATGTCCTTTATTACAGCCTTTCATTATATTTATTTTCTAAATTATATTTAGTAACATGTTTATCGATATAAAACAGTAGAGATATGGGAAGTTACTTCAACTAATCCAGGACTCTGCAGAGAAAATAAAGTTAGAAGTAAGACAGCCCCATATTTTTAGCACAGTAAGCAATTGTATGAGCTCATGTAAGTATTGATTTACAATATTTTAGAAGCTATCAAATAAAAGGACAGTGGTTTATCTTTTTCTGAATCAGGCTTCCAGTTTATTTTTACTGATACTCTGTTAAAATGTGCATTTGCAACTTGGTTTCCTGTACCTCTTCACAATAGAATGATTAGCACTTGATTGAATTGTCAAATTCTACAGTGGTTTACTGTATCTTTCTTTGTCTCTAGGATGATTGAGGAAAGTGGGAACAAGCGGAAGACCATGGCAGAGAAGAGGCAGCTGTTCATAGAAATGCGTGAGTCTTGAGTCCTTGTTCGTATGTGCAGGAATGTTTGTGTGTGTGTTTTTTTTTTTTTTTTTTAAATCAAGTCATAGCTTTAATCAGTTACAAGTTTTAAGCTTTAAAGAGGGAAGAATGGGAGTAAAAGAATCATGGAGTTGAAGGACCCCAAGCCAAAGCATATATTTTAATAGAATTGACTTGCTTTCTTAGGCAAGGCCATAAATAATAAGGTAGAAATGTTACCTAGAATGCCTGTGATTTTGTACCATGCCAGTCAATTTAGATCTGTTGCTGTAACTCCATTGTTACCGTGAGCTTGCAGGTGGTGATTAATACATTATATAAATTACCTTCCACTAGATACCAGTTCTGAGACAGAGAGGACTAAGTGTTAGGGCAACACCTAGAGATATTGGAAAACTAAAAAGAATGAATGTGTATTTTGATATATTTTTAACTTTAAATATTCTGTTAAAAATTACATTGTTTTGTACAGTTCAAACAGAGAGAAGAAGGTGGCTAAGAGAGGTGGGGTGGTTCCCAATCCTTGCAGGATTGTTTTGCTCTGTGACTGCTTGTCTATGTGACCATGACCATGTGACCTTGACCAACTCAAGGTCGCATTTGCTGGACCTCAAATTCCTTTGCCATGAAATAGGGGTTATTGGTCTGGACCAGTGATTACGAAACCTTTCAAAAGTACTGTACTGTTTTTTTCCCAGGGAAATCTTACAGGGACCCTTAACATAAGAGTATTATAAAATTGGTAGTGCTTGGTTGAAGCAGGAGAGGGGAGAAAGGGCCAGCCTGAGATAGCCTCTAAGGTCCTTGCAGAATTCTAGAATTCTGCATATCGCAGTATGAAAATCAGTGGGTAAAAGTCTCCGAAGACCCAACTCCCAACTTATTTGATATCTTTAGGGGCTTGGTAATGGTAGGCAGAGTTTGACTCAGCTAAGCCATGTGTTGTCCTGTTAGTCATAGGCTGGATAACTATTTGTTAGAGGTGGTAAAGAAGAAATTTCGGCATTGGATAGGTAGCCCAACTGGGTGATCATTAAGGACTTTTGTAGTTCTGAGCTTCTAATGGCTAGTAATCCAAGCCAGACACCTTGGAGTCACTTCCCTCCACCTCACCTTCTACCTCCAAAGAAATCAGAAGGCATCTGAATTTTACTATGTACATGAGTCTGATTCTGTTCATCACTCCACAGCGGCTTTGAGTCCAGCTTTGCAGTTAGACTGCTCAGTTTGGATCTTGGCTGCCTCACTTCCTGACTGAATAACCTTAGGCAAGTTAACTTAATCTCTCTGGGCCTCTGTTTCCTCATCCATAAAGCAGGAATGGCATTGACTTCTTAGAATTGTTGTGAAGATTAAATGAGATAATGTGAATAAAGCACTTGGCACAATGCCTGACACATACGTAAGTATGAAGTGAGTAGTACATACTTAATATGGATGGTTGTATTTATTACTAATTTTTTTTAATTGTTGGTACTTTTCTGAACTAAAGCAATAATTTCCTGATCCCTTTTTCCAGTCTTGACCCTCTCAAATCTGCTGTCTATGATCAGCTACCAGATTGAATTATATACATCTGTGCTACTTCTTTTTTTTTTTTTGAAAAGGAGTTTCACTCAGCCATCCAGGCGGGAGTGCAGTGGCTCGATCTCGGCTCACTGCAACCTCCACCTCCTGGGTTCAAGTGATTCTCATGCCTCAGCCTCCTGAGTAGCTGGGATTACAGGTACCCACCACCACGCCTGGCTAATTTTTGTATTTTTAGTAGAAACGGGGTTTCACCGTGTTGGCAGGGCTGGTCTCAAACTCCTGACCTCAAGTGATCCGCCTGTCTTGGCCTCCCAAAGTGCTGGGATTACAGGTGTGAGCCACTGTGCTTGGCCTAAATCTGTGCTACTTCTTTGCTTACGTTCCTTTACTTGCTTCTCATCACTTTAATGGGAAGGACCCCACTCCTAAGATTGCCGAACAAGGCCCTTCTGGCCCCTTTTTTGCTCTGCCCAGTAGTTCCCAATTTTTCCATCACATGCCTTGCATGTTACTTCCCAGCAATACTGAATTGACTTTCCTGCAGATCATATAGTTTCATGCCTTTGTGCCTTTGCACAATACCATTGCCTCCACCACCCGGCACACTGCTCCTGCCTGCCCTTCAAAACTCAGTATAGGGGTCATCTTTTCCCTTCAACTTTTAGTGCATTTATTGAGGATCTACTATGCTCCAGGCACTATTCTGGGTGCTAGGGCCACAAAGGAGAACAAAACACAGTCCCTGACCTCACTTCATGAAATGTCCATGTAAGTAAAGGGAAGCAGACAAAATAGGAAACCAAATACATAGACACAGTAATTCCTGATACTAAGAAGAGGCTGGGGTGCCTTAAGTAAATACACATGGGCATGCTGGCGTGATGGGGTAGAGATCTGAAGTAGTCCTGCGAAGAACTGGGTTTACTTCGTTGTGAATGTTACTACTCTTACACAGAAACCTCATATGAATTATCCTCTGACTTAAGGATGACAGTCAGTCTGGAAGACGTTTGGTGAGTGTGACTTCTTGAGTCTCCTCTATTTCTTCACAGGAGGAATTGCATGGGTGACTATAATATCTGCTGCTGGAAACCCCACCCCCTCATTTCCAGCAATGTCAACCAGAAACTCCAGCATAACTACTTTCTGTGGATGCCAGAATCACCTTTTTCCAGCCATTATTCAGTTGTATCATTTAGTATGTTGATTTTAGTATGTCAATTTTGAATCTAGTACTCTTTCTCAACTCTTATTAGTCTTAATGGTTATAGATTTCTACTTAGGTAGGTAACTGTACCATTTTCTTCTTTTTCTTTGAGACTGTGTTTTGCTCTGTCGCTCAGGCTGGAGTGTGAAGGTGTGATCACAGCTCACTGCAGGCTCCATCTCCAAGGCTCAACTGATCCTCCCGCCTCAACCTTCTGGGTATCTGAGACTGCAGGCATGTGCCAACAGGCCTGGCTAATTTTCTTGTTTTTTTGTAGCGATAGGTTCACACTATGGTGCCCAGGCTGGCTGGTCGCGAACTCCTGGGCTCAAGTGATCCTCCCACCTCGACCTCCCAAAGCGCTGGGATTACAGGTATGAACTACCGTGCCCGGCCAGTAACTATACCATTTTTAAAGAAAGACAATTCGGACTCTTCCTTTTGTAATTGTAATCCTTATACCCTTTTTTTGACCTAGTGTACTGGTTAGGGCCGCAGATATTATATTGAAAAGTAGGAAGGATGGCTGGGCACAGTGGCTCATGCCTGTAATCCCAGCACTTTGGGAGGCCGAGGTGAGTAGATCATGAGGTCAGGAGTTTGAGACCATCCTGGCTAACATGGTGAAACCCTGTCTCTACTAAAAATACAAAAAAATTACCTGGACGTGCTAGCGGGTGCCATAGTCCCAGCTACTTGGGAGGCTGAGGCAGGAGAATGGCGTGAACCCGGGAGGCGGAGCTTGCAGTGAACAGAGATCACGCCATCGCACTCTAGCCTGGGCAACAGAGCGAGACTCCGACTCAAAAAAAAAAAAAGAAAAGTAGGAAGGATAGCAGGGGCATCCTTGCCTTGTTTTTTGTTTTCATGGGAATGTTTCTAGTATTTCTATTATTTCTCTATTTCTAATATTTCACTTTTAAGTGTGATGATTGCTACAGGTTAACCTGATAAAGGTGAAGGAAGTGATATGTCCTAATTTGCCAGGAATCATTATCATTATTTTCTTAAGTCATAACTGAATATTGAATTTTTTTTTTTTTTTTTTTTTTTTTGAGATGGAGTGTCACTCTGTCGCCCAGGCTGGAGTGCAGTGGTACGATCTCGGCTCACTGCAAGCTCCGCCTCCTGGGTTCACACCATTCTCCTGCCTCAGCCTCCTGAGTAGCTGGGACTACAGGCGCCCGCCACCACGCCCCGCTAATTTTTTTGTATTTTTAGTAGAGACGGGGTTTCACCGTGTTAGCCAGGGTGGTCTCGATCTCCTGACCTCGTGATCTGCCCGCCTCGGCCTCCCAAAGTGCTGGGATTACAGGCGTGAGCCACTGTGCCCAGCCTTGAATATTGGATTTTATCAGATGTTCTCTGCTTCCCTTGAGAGGAATGTATTTCCTCTTCACTCTGTTCATACAGTGCTGGGGCCAGCCATCTTTTTCTTAAAGAGCCAGAAAGTAAATATTTTAGGATTTGCAGGCTGTATGATGAGTTCTTTGTCAAGCTACTCAACTCTGCCATTGTAGCATAAAAGCAGTCGTAATAATTTATTGATTTAAATAGTTTTATGTTTTTTTAACCTTAGCGTTCAGAATATTTCCTTTTGGAGCTCTTTTTGAAAAAAATAATTGTAACGTTTAGATTCAGGGGGTACATGTGCAGATTTGTTACATAGTTTGTATTTTTCAACCTTGTGTTACCTTTACTGTTATGACTTTATATCATGTCCTTAAGCCTTTATGTTTTTAGACAGTATTTTTACATTTTCTGTTATGAACAGCAATGAAATTAGTTTATTCTTTCTTTGCTTAATATTTTCTCTTTTAGACTCTAAGCAACATGAGAATAAGGATCACATCTGTTTATCATGGTGGTGCCTCGATAAATATTTATTAACAGAAGAATGGAATATATTCCATAGAAATAAATGGGTAGTTTATGATTCTTACATAATATAAAATCCCTAAGAAAAATGAAAGGTGACGGGTGAGAAGAGTGATCCTCAACTCTGGTGCTAAAGCGAAAGTTCTCCAGTTGATTGTGCAGAGTACTTGATACCAGACCTCCAATGCTCAGAGATTCTGATTTTATTTTGTCTTTTCTAAAGTTTGGCAATTTTATTGGCAAAGGACTGACTTTTAGCTTTATTGATCCTCTTTGTATATCTTTGTTCTCTGCCTCATTTGCGCTATTTTCATCTTCCTATTTAGGCAATTCTGTTATTTTTCTAACAACTTATGTTGGGTTACTAAGGCCATTTGTTTTCAGCCTTTTTTTTCTTATGTAAGCATTTAAGAATAAACTTTCCTGTGATTGTTTTTTTGCATCCCAAGTGTTCTGATATTTACTATTTTTCATGATCAGTTCTCTATATCCTCTAATTTTTATTATTAATTACTTAGAAATATCTTTTTATTGATTGGTTGGTTGGTTGATTGACTGATTGATAGAGACAGGGTATTGCTGTGTTGCCCAGGCTAGTCTTGAGCTCCGAAGCTCAAGCGATCCTCCCACCTTGGCCTCCCAAAGTGCTGGGATTACAAGTGTGGGCCACCACACCCGACTGGAGTATCTTTTTAAATTTGAAAGTAAATGTTTTAGTGAAAAAAAACCTGTATAGCTTAATTGGGATTTGGGTCAGGAAATGAGGGAAGATCTGGAATCTTTGAATTTGTTAATTGATGTTTTGTGTTTTTTCCAAATATTCCATGAGTACTTGAAAATAATGTGTATGATTTCTGCATTATTTAGATGAAGCTTGTTGTATATTTCATTAAAATCTTTTTTGTCCTTGGTGATTTGATTGCTTGATCTTAATCACTGAAAGATGTTAAATATTTCTGCTTTGATCAAGAGTGTTAAATTTTTCTCTGTACTTTTGTTAGCTTTCGAAACTTTAATTCTTGAATGCATGCACCTTTAAAATGTTATGTCTACCTAGGAAAGTGAATCCTTTATCCTTATATAGTTACCCTCTTTTTCTAGTAATGCTTTTGATGCATTTAAGTCTATTTTGTAGCATATTGATAGAGCTAATGCTGGCTTGCTTTCAGTTAGCATACTTAGTACAGTATGTATCTTTTCATTCTTTTACTTTAAAAATTTCTTAATTCTTACGTTTTTGTCTCTTATAAGTAGCATAAGCTAGAATGTTTTTTAAAAAAACAATATGACAGTCTTTGCCTTGTCACTGAAGAGTTTATTTTGTCTAGCTTTTAAGAGTCAAATTCTGTAAAATATTTGAAGAGGTTTATTTGAAGCTAAATGTAGTGACCATGGCCCGTGACAGAGCCCTCGGGAGGTCCTGAGACCTCCCAGGGTGGTCGGGGTGCAGCTTGGTTTTATACATTTTAAGGAGGCATGAGACTAAAATCAAACATATTTAAGAAACATATTGGTTTGGTCCAGAAAGGCAGAACAACTTGAAGGGGTCGGGGGCTTCTAGCTTATAGGTAGATTTAAAAGTTTTCTGGTAAAAAATTGGTTGAATTTATCCAAAGACCTGGGATCAATAGAAAGGAATGTCTGGATTGCAATAAGAGGTTGTGGAGACCAAAGTTTTCTCACACAGATGAAGCCTCCTGGTAGCAGACTGCAGAGAAAACAGGTTGTAATATGTTTCTTTTTGCTTTTTTTTTTTTTTTTTTGAGACGGAGTCTCACTCTGTCACCCAGGCTGGAGTGCAATGGCGCGATCTCGGCTCACTGCAATCTCCACCTCCTGGTTTCAAGCGATTCTCCTGTCTCAGCCTCCCAAGTAGCTGGGATTACAGGCGGCTGCCACTATGCCTGGCTAATTTTTGTATTTTTAGTAGAGATTGGGTTTCACCATGTTGGTCAGGCTGGTCTCAAATTCCTGACCTCAGGTAATCCATCCGCCTCGGCCTCCCAAAGTGCTGGGATTACAGCATGAGCCACTGTGCTTGGCCAATATGTTTCTTATTAGGCTTAAAGTCTGTGTTGTTATTAATGCCTGAGAGGTACGGTGAGGCATGATCCCAACTTCCTATCATGGCCTGAAACAGTCTCCCAGGTTAAATTGTAAAAGAGCCCAGGCTGAGGAGGAAGTTCATTCAGATGGTTGGGGGGCCTTAGAGTTTTATTTTTGGTTTACATATTCATCATATTTTATGCTTCAATTTTGTCCTTTTTTTGATGTGTTTCTTCCTCCTTTCCCCGTCCTAGAGGAACTGAGCTTGCTTTCTTCCTTCCATCCCATTGTTTCCCTCTACTTGGTTGTGAGTTATATGTTTTTCTGTTCTTTATCCTGGAAATATTGACATCAATTAAAATATAGCTTATCAATATTTGTAACTTTTTTCAAATATGAGGGTATTGGAATATTTTTGGGTACCCCTTAATGAAATTTATACCATTTTTAGTATTATCTTTTTTAAGGGCCAGGCGCAGTGGCTCATGCCTGTAATTCCAGTACTTTGGGAGGCCGAGGCAGGTGGATTGCTTGAGCCTAGAAGTTTGAGACCAGCCTGGGCAACATGGCGAAACCCTGTCTCTAGAAAAGTACAAAAATTAGCCGGGTGTGGTGGCATGTTTTTGTAGTCCCAGCTACTTGGGAGGCTGATAGGTGGAAGGATTGCCTGAGCCTGGGAAGTCAACGTTACAGTGAGCTGAGATTGTGAAACTGTACTCTAATGCCAGGGTGAGTGAGACCCTGTTTAAAAAAAAGAAAAAAGATATCTTTTTTATCCTACGTATTAGATTTTGTTATTATTTTGTATAATCTAATCCATTTAGTTATTTCTTTCTTTTTTTTTCTTTTTTCTTCTTTTTTTGAAATGGAGTCTTGCTCTGT